TACGGGGCCCCTAGCGTACGAGTAGCGTACGAGTACAAGAGTACGAATCCGTACTTGTACAAGGGTGCGTACAAGTGGCAACGCAGCGTATGACTGTCCGCACGGCCAGACGTACGGTCGTACGAGTGGAGCCCCGTACCACATACGATGTGTTAAACAGGTTCGGGATGTCCGTGTTGCCTATGGGTGATGACGGATGCTCGTCGAAGTGTCTCCTTGGCTCAGTGGGGGCTAGGAAGCAACAGTCTGCGGGGTTCAATAGTGATGTGAGCAGGCCATGGGCTGCTTCGCTCCGTGTTGGATGTGTGGACGGCCTCGCCTGCGCTCCGGCGCTGCCCTGCTGCCTGTCCTGCTTGCTTCGCGTGTGGTTCTTTGCAGGTTGATGTGTTCGCTGTGTGGTGTGGCCGTGTGGTTGGTGTTGCCCTGCGCTTTGCTGCTCCGCTGCCTTGCTGCGCTTCCGCTGGCTGTGCCTTCCGTGTTTGCTGCTTGCGGACCTTGTTGGCTTGTTGCCTTGTTGCGGGTGCCTTGTGCTTCGCTCCACAGTTGTTGAGTTGCTGGTCCCCTCGCCCTGTCGTCCCTTGCATGGTTGCCTTGCTTGTGTTGCCTTGTGCTTCACTACACAGTTGCCGCTCTGCTTATTTTGCGTGCCATGTCGTTCCTTGCAGTTGTTTTTTGGCGTTGCGCAGCCATGTTGCATGTATTGTGTTGCCTGGTGCTCGACAGAGTTGTTGCCCGCTGCTATGTTCTGCTTGGGGACAGTTTGCCCTCAACAAGGGTCGAAGGGTTCATGCCCAAACCATCAAATACGGAGATTCCGCAAATTGTCGAGGGTTGAACCTCCTGATGAGTCGGTGCAACTCCGACGAAACAATCTTGTCATCATCGTTTTTTTTTTTTTTTGGTCTTCGCTGTTTTTGGGGACTTGTATATATATTTTTTGCTTTGCCTGCTTTCGGTGTTCGAGTGGGGTCTTCCCTTCATCCTCCCCGGTGCCCTCCACCCATTGTCCTTTGCGGTTGCCTGTTGTCTTATGCTAGGGGTATCTTTCTGTACTTGCACTTTTCTTTTGTCTTTCCTTGTTTTGTGCATTTATGTATGGTCTGCCACCAAACTTCCCCCGTGCTCCCCAACCGTTGTGCCTTTCTGCAATTTGTTGTCATTGCCTTCTTGCCTTTCGCCTTATTCTGCTCCCTTTCCCCATCCTCTGGTGTCTGTTGATCGTGTGTGTTCCAGCTCACCCGCAAAGAGCAGCGGGAGCATGAATGCTCATATTATAGTTCGACTGTTCGACATAGTCATTCCCCGCCTTACAGTATAGGTTCCGTCGGCACCACGCCTACAGGTTCTTGTTTCCGAGCTTGCTCGTATAGTCCGGCATAGTCATTCCCCACCTCCGAGTACGGGATGTGTCTGCACCACGGCTACAAGTTTTCATTCTTAAGGTGCGCCAATATATTCTTTCGGATCTTGATTGTGATGCGGTTTCCGTATCATATTGCAAACGCGTCATATAATGCGTGACACACACTTACACACACAGCACACACACATACACACACACACACACACACACACACACACACACAGACACACACACACACACACACATATTGTGTCTGTCTGTGGGCGCCCCCTTCCCTGCCTCATGTGGCGAACGAAGTTAGAGACGAGCATAATTGAGGGACGATGATTCCATGTATAAATTGAGAGTGATGCCGGCGGAGAAGCAGCCATCCTTGCAAGGCCAGCGCTTCGGTGCAACAGTTGATAATACAGTCTGTTGTTTGAGGTCAAAAGTCAAAGCTCCGTTGGTACAGGTGTCTCCAACGTGGTGCTCTTGGGTAACAGAGCCATAGTTGAGTGTTCATGTCTGACAACAGTTATGAGCAGTGAAACGGTATTCACCAGTTCGCAGTAGCAAATGCAGATCCCAGGGCTCGATCCCTAGTTCCCCATCTTACCTGTGTACAGTATTGATGACAACCCGTAGATTTGAACCTGCGACCTGTCGAAATGCCAGTGGTAGGTAGATTGTCGTAGGTCACAGCTTAGAAGGGAATCGAACTGTAGACCTGTAGGGTAGGAGTCTAGACAGTTCTGAAGTCGTAGCTGTAGGATGTCTGAAGGGTCAAGGTCGTAGCTGCTACTTACCTGAAAGGGCAAAGTCGTAGCTGCTACAGTACCGAAAGGCCAAAGTAGAAGTTTCTAGAACYGGCCTTTCGGAGTCAGCCCCTGTTTMGGCCGAGGCAAGTGGGCAAGTGGTGTAGGTCCACTACGTAGAGTCAGCAGTCCCAGGTAGCCCAGTCCGGTCCAGTCAAGCAAGTACCGTCTGGGACYGTGCRCATCGTGGGCCAAGGGATACAKGGCAGACCAACGCCGCACAGAAGTATAAATCAAGAGGCTGCGTCCAGCCATTCATTCATTCCTGCGGATGCCATGMGGAAGCACTGCCTCAGCAGCTTGTGCGAGGAGGTCTGCAGTGCGCCCGAAGACGAAGAGGGCAGTGAAGTGTAGTGTAGCGATAGGATAGTGGCAGCCAGAGCTTCCATAGCTACAATGTGTGTGTGTGTGTGTTGCGTGTAGAGTGTTGCGTGTGGGACATCCAGGGTGATCCAGAGTGCGAACAGTGAGTTGTATGGGCACTCAGTCGCCATAGCCAGTTTGAAGGGAACTCTTACCTGGTTACCATATCTTTGAGTACTGTGTGAGCGCATGTCGCCAGTTTGCTGTTTCGCTGTTTGCATGCATGACAAGTGTGAAGAAGTCGAGTTTGATTGCACTGGTATCAGAGCAGGTACCCGCTGTCCCATGCGCGCGATGTGTGCAGGGCCGATCGGCCATAGCTGAAGTGCCGCCGGAGGAGG